TCCCTCCCTCCCTCCCTCCCCCCTTCAGCTGACGGGCTACATCCGTCGCGGCGCCAACTGCTGTGTGATAGAGATCGACATCGCAAACCCCACAGACGATGACGAACATGGCTCAATCAAGGTCAAACGTATCATCAAAAAGGTCGGTGCCAACTAAGGGAGAGGCGAGTAGCAGCCAGTCAGGGTTTGCTCTCTGTTTGTGTGTGTGCGTGTGTCAGGACCAGCACAACAGACCTCGGTCGGACTGGTGGATTGACGGTCAGGAAGAGAAGGCACACAGAAACGGGGCGGGGTAGTGATGGACACTCGCGCACACGGACGGGGGGTGACTGTGTGAGTGCAGGCCATCGCTCCACGCTGGAGGACGTCAAGGAGCTGCAAACACGGTTCGACCTGCAGGGTGAGGAAAACACCTACTGACAATGTTGCTGGCGGCAGAATGGATCTCCTGCCTTGACGTGTGTGTGTGTGTGTGCAGTTGACAATGCCGTGACGTTCCTGGCGCAAGAGAACGTGAGCTGTCTGTCTGTGCATCATAGGACGCTCACGCTGCGCTGCATGGGTATCTGTGTGTCTGTGTGTCCCTGTCCGGCCTGCCTGCCTGCCTGCCTGCAGGTGCATGCCTTGTCTGAGATGGGCCCCGAGCAGCTCTTCTGCGAGACGCTGCGAGCCATCGACCCAAACCAGAACAAAGTCTTCGAGTGAGCAAAGCATGACACGGGCTCACGGCCACTCCTGCATCCATCCACCCACCCACCCAAGGCATCGTGTCATCTCTTGTGTGTGTGCTTGTGTGTGTGTGTGCAGGAGTCTGAAGCAGAAGGAGAAGGACCTGGAGAAGCACAAGCGGTCGCGCGCGAGCTGCCTGGAGAAACTCGCCAACCTAGAGGCACAGCTCAAGAAACTCGACGAGAAGAGGCAACAGTTCCTCAGACAACGTACCAATCCCCCCACACACGCACACACACACACACACGTGTTTGGTATTGTGTTTGGCGTTCAGGTCAGGCGTACGACGAGGCAGACCTGGCCGAGGCGAAGATCGTCAAGCTGTCGGCCGTGACAGCAGCCAACGACCGCGAGCGGCTCCACCAGCGTGTGCAGGAGCTCACCGAGGCCCAGGAGAAGATGAAGGACGAGATCAAGCCCCTGAAGGAGGAGCACGAGGCCCTCCGCAAGCACAAGACCGACCTGGAGAACAGGTTCCGCGCCAAGAAGCCGCAGACAGAGCGGCTGGACGAGCTGTGGGGCGAATACGCGGACAGACAGCTCCCGAAGCGGCAGGAGATCAGGTCGGTGGGGGAATCCAACCAAAGAAAGCGCGAAAGCATTCTATGCCTCGTGTGGATAATGCAGGGCTCTGGTGTCGAGTTTGGCCAAGGTGGACGAGACAGCACAGAAGCGGCGTGAGAACATCGATAAGAGCGAGAAGTCTGTCGCGGAGAAGCGCAAGCTGTATCAGGACGCACAGGTGCTCATTACAGGCGCACACACACAGAGTGAGAGAGATCGGTGGACACAGAGAGGGGCGAGGGCCGTTTCATGTGTGTGTGTGGCTGTGTGTGTCAGGCCAAGTACCAGGAGGCCGTGCAAGGGACGTCGCCCGAGCAGATGAACCAAAACTGGAAAGCCATATCACAGAAGAAATCAAGGTCGCATGACAAAAGGGGATGGGTTATCTGTCAGCCGTGTCGTCTGCAACCACACACGTGTGTGTGTGTTTGGTGTCGTGTGTGTTTGGTGTCGTGTGTGTTTGGTGTGTGCAGCCTCCAGCGTGACGCCGGCATGAAGAACATCACCAAATCAGACAAGGAGAGGCAGCTCAACCAGATGCAGAAGCGAATCCGCGACCAGTCCACAGTCGAGCAGAAACGAGAAAGGCACACACACACACACACACAACGACACAGAGCTTTCCCACTGGCTATTTACCTCACCCCATCTTTCATTCATTCAGGCGTGCGCTCGAGGGCATCTACTCGCACGCCATCAGGAACGACGTGCAGGGCGTCCTGCAGGATTTGCCGCAGCTGCGGCCCAGCCAGCCGGTGCTGTTCATCCCGGCACACATGGAGTGTGAGCCGTCCAAGGGCAGCATCGTCGAGGCCCTCCTTGCCGGGCAGCTCTTCGCCTTTCTCGCCGCACCGCAGGACGCTCGGGACTTCCGAAACAGATTCAAATCGAGGGTGAGTGGGTGAGGAGGGAAGACACACACACACACACACACGCACATGTGGATGAGCAGAGCAGAGCAGAGCAGACGTGGGATTTATGTAGGTGACGTTGTTGACGGACAGCACAGACAATGTGCTGCTTCCCGAGGTCCGCAACTCTCAGCCACTCGTCAATGCGGGCGTCCAGGTCAGCCAGC